GATAGATAGATAGATAGATAGATAGATAGATAGATAGATAGATAGATAGATAGATAGATAGATAAAATGATTTGGGACCTCAGCGGTGGCGGGGTTTTGATCTATTCCTAGATCTGGTTGCCTGAATACAAAGTTCTTTGTTGAATTCTCTCTTTTGTGTACTGTCTTGGCTGGAATTCTCGTTTTTATACGGAATGCTTTCCCTAGGTACCTCCCATGCTGTCATTTCAGTACCAAATAAGGACATTTTTTATTTCCATGGGCCTTTTAAATGATAGATAAGTTTTTTTACCAGTTGTGGTCTTAACTCTTATTCTCCCACCTCCCACGCCTTGTTTATCTTTGTCGTATTTTGGTGTTAATTTTTATACTGCTGCTACTGATGCTGTTGTTATTGTGTCAGGTGTTCTGAAAACCCCTGTTAGTTGAAGAGTGAGATATTAATTTACCAAATCAACACACCTATGCCCCAACTTCAAAACCCAAACATATTGTCTATTAAGGTCTGTGGGGAAATTTGAAACATCAGTGTTTACAATGCTTAAATGTAAAAAGGTGTGTGTGCGGGGGGGACCTCCTATGGGGTTCCATGGTTAAATACTTCAATTCTCCAAAACTTTCCATTTTGTAGAAGCCTGAATGATCTGAAGGACAATTTCTTGTCTGAACTTGGGTTACACATGGTTTCTACAAAGATCATATGAAAGTCATTAAAAGAGCTAGCTGTCAACATGAAATTCTCTGACAAGCTTGAAATGACAGGCTGGGTCACCTTTGAGTTCCTAAGATTCTGTTTTGTTTCATTACTATGCCAATAGTTTACTGGCATTCTGTTTTCTTTCCCTCCTTGCCCCCTGCTTCATCTCTGTGACAGGGATTCGGGAAACAAGTGGATGTGTCATATATTGCCAAATATTACAACATGAGTAAAAGCAAAGTTGACAACCAGTTCTACAGCGTGGAAGTGGGTGACTCGACCTTCACAGTTCTCAAACGCTACCAGAACTTAAAACCAATCGGCTCTGGGGCTCAGGGAATAGTTTGGTAAGTTACTTCAAGTATCTTGTCCATCTATATGAATGTGTATAGATTTCTTTTTCTCTGGTTGTAAAGGAGGTATACCACCTGTAGTCTTTCAAAGTTTGCTTGCCATGAAGTGTATCAAAGACCAGCGCTTGAAACTAATTCATTAAAAATTAATGTTTGACTGTAATTGGTTATATATGTGGACCTTAAAACAATATATACATTATTTTAATTATTTTAAGGGCCACAGTGCCACAGTGTTGACAATCTGAGTATCAATGTTTCATGTTCTTTTACTTTGTTACCTGAGAAGTAATTTGGGGAGTTTGACTATTTTAATTTTTTTTAATTAATCATGTCATTATCATGTCACAATTAATATCACAAATTAATTTTGTAGTGGCTGAAGTCTTGTTGTGCTATTACACAAAAGGTGTAACTTTCCAGGTTCTGCCCAAGACTGCAGTAAATAGCACTATAAGGCAATAAGGATAGAGAAGGGAGAAAGGAGATGAGGTGTGCAAAGATTCATATATCTCTTGAGTCCAGGTGTCTAGCTCTGTCCTATCCCGTTTCCTGGTAGGAATGATATTATCTACATGCCGAGAAGCAAACAGATAACATTTTTGAAACCTTCAGCCTTCCATCTGAGACCAAGCCCTCCCTAGCCCCCTTTAGGACCTGCAGAAAGATGACATTTGTTGTGAGACCAGACCCTTTTGTAACATTCTTTTACGTGAAACCTATTTTCATGTCTAGCTATCAATTCAACGGAGAAGTGAAGAATTCTAAAATGAAGGTGGAGTTGGTATAATGACTCATGTTTTTCACCACTTTTAGACAATCTAAGATCCAGGAGCTATGGAGCTAAGCCAAGAGTCAACACTCAGCATGGCTGAGCAAATGGCAGAGCACTTGAGCCTAAGGTTGCCAGGTCAGCAGCCTACTAATTCCTGAGGTTTTAAGTTATGGCAGGCCATGGTGATGTTTGAGGGTGAGGCAGGGTTAGGGGAAATGGGTCTCCATGTCCCTGGCTTTGCTAGTGCATGTACACCACAGAAAGACCACTCAACAATTTATTTATTCGTGAAGACTTTCACAGCCGGGATGTAATGGTTCTTGTGGGTCCTCTGAAGATGTCAGAGACTGGCGAAACGTTAGGAAGAACAACCTTCAGAACACGGCCAAAGAGCCCGAAAAACCCACAACAACCAATTTATTTATTTATTTTTAAATATTTTACCTCACCTTTTTCCTTGAAAAGGACTTAAGGTAGCTAACACCATTAAAAGACAATATCAAAGCTAAAATAAGTAAGTAAACAAATACTAAAAAGCATCAAGCAAATACCATACTAAAGAAGGTAAGCAACAGCAATGCCAAAAAACACATTCAAAGTGGTGAGGTGAAACAATCCATCTAAAAATCCCACTCATGCAGCCAGTCACTGGAGGAAAGCTTGCCTGAAGAGAAAGGTCTTTGATTGCTTGAGGAAAGACAACAAAGATGAGGCTGGCCTGGCCTACTGTGGGAGGGAGTTCCAGAGTCTGGGAACAGCAACAGTGAAGGCTTTTTTCCATGTCCCTTCCAAATCCACCTATGAAGGTGGTGGGACTGAGAGAAAAGCCTCTCCTGAAGATCATCTGACCCATAACTAATATCCTAAGCTTGGGAAAATAAGTGTAACTTTGTGTTATTCCAAAAGTACAAATAAGTGTGATTTTGTATTAGTCCAAAAAGTATAACCTCAAACTTCCTTGGGGCTGTTTCAAAAATGCTATATGCAGATGCCCCTCCCTGAGCTTCTTTTGGAAGCAGTACAAAGAAGGAAGGGTTTCTGATACTGAGCCCAGGTACCAGAGAGTTTCACACGGTGGTCCTAGTGTTGTTGGGGACCCAAGCCATTTTGGTATTTGTAGATTAACAGCGGCACATGGCTGGTGTACATATCATGCCTCTGATTACCATGGAGGGGAGCCACGGGACAGAAGGGACACAAAATGTAGAGAAGGAGAAAACAGGGGATATATAGCCACTAGACAATTAGAATGGTTTTATATCACCACCTGCCTTAGCTCCATCTTACAGAATTGTGTAATTTGTTGTTTGCGAGGTGCTTAATTGTTTTCTGCTCTAGTTTATGGGAGTGCACCAAACCTCTCAAACAGAGAATGCTAAGTATCTCAGCATAAATAGTAGATAATGCTAAGTGCCAGGATGGCTCCGTAGCACTTAAACGGGTGTCAAACTGCTATAACTTCCTAGTTTCATAGGGGCAAGAATGAAAAGAAGAAAGACAAGGCTAGTAGAGCAGGCACACCCAGCCCCGTTCATGTCTTGATGGATGTTCCCAATGGGCATCTATCTAGCTTTTAGTAAAAGTTTAGTATTAGATTTCTCTTAACTTTCAGCAGCTAGTAGTTGGAAAAAGGACTGCGTGTGGTAATTTGCACTCTTTGGCATTTTCTTTGAACAGCAAGACAAAGGACATTTCCAGCTGACCTAGTAATTCCTTTTCTTGTGTTCTGAAGACAATCCCAGATGTGCCGAGCAATAAGTCTCACCCCTGTATCATTTCGAAGTTGTCATAAATGCAAGGTTTTCAAGTTGATGCGACCATTAATCTTTACTCGGTTAAAAGAAAAAGAACCAGGAAAACTCTGACATTTCAGGGAAACATATGACTATCGTAAGAGTTGCGTTGTAAAACATGGAGATCTAATAAATCTTGCAGAGTAAATAATCAGATGTTTTGTGATTCATGCAAGTGTTTCTCTGATTTATTGTTTGTCACTGTATAATCTGCCTTGCCCTTTTGCCAGCCCATAGAGTCTTCTTTGGTATCTTCTCTATTGTCCAGTATTCCTCAGCTAAAGAGCAACAACAAAGCCCCCCCACACATTTGGGTGGGTCTTGGTGTTTATGTTTTTCTTCTACAATTTCTTTTAAATGTTTATTTCAATCTCCACATTACCATTAAGTTAAGAGAATGCTATGCTATTGAAAGAAAAAGAACCATTTGGAAGCCTTCAGCACTGACGCTGAGCAAATACACAACAGTGAGTGTGCTAAGCCTGTTTCCTGCCACTTGATTTTCTCATGTGAAGTATACTGGTTCTGAACAGGGGAGATTCTTGTACATATGGAGGGTCTGTGTGTCGGCCAGGACCCTGGAGAAAATGTGCTTTTGTTTGCTATGAGGCCCACCACAAATGGAAGAGTCTTTCCTCTTTAGAACTGTCACTTTTCGAGCAAAAAGACAATGGTATGCGGACCAACACACACGTGTGTGCTGTTCCCTTCCTCACATATTTACTCTTAGCCCACATGTTCAGCATCTGAACTGAGAAGAAAGAGAGAGAGGGGATGAGTTTCATAGCCTTGACTTCTGCAGATCCTTCAGAATGTGCATGCAGAGGTCAAGTGCCTGCTACGAGGTGCAATTCCTTTTTATTTATTTATTTATTTATTTAATAACTTGGGCTTAGGGTATGGGATACAGAAGGTAAAGGGAAATGTAAGGGGTAAAAAGGGGGGAGGAGAAACACAAAATATACTGACATCCAGTTTATTCATATTGCAAAATTCAAACTTTCCGCTTTTCTACTATTCGCTGCCTTCCAGATTTTAATTCACATTTACATCTTAGTTTTGATCTGTGTTATTCAAGCACTCTCTGGTGACTCTAACCGTTTATAAAATACATCCCATCGTTCAGTTGCCTTTTGTATAGGACAGTCTTTCAACACTTCTGATACAATGTCCATTTCGGCCGCTTCCCATATCTTCTCAGTAAGTTCCTCTTGTTTCGGTATCACCGGACTTTTCCAATTTTTGTTATAAAGAATTCTGGCTGCAGTGCTAGGCAGGCTAAGGGAATCCAGACTGCCCTTTGTAAAGATGGCGGCTGCAGCTTCCCAACCCTAAATGAAGCCATAGCCACCATCTTTGCAAAGGGCAGGCAGTCTCCATTTCTACATTTGTGGCTCCGAGGCCAGAAGACCTCAGCAGCTGCAATTAAGATTAAGATTATGGTGGCGGGGGGACCCCCTGCGGTGCCTTCTGAGGCCTCCGGAGTCTTGGGAAGGCAGCAATGGTGGCGAGAGGCGGCAGGGGGCTTTGTACCGGTAAGGTGCGGCTTTTTATTTTTTTTAAAAAATGTTCTGGGTGGGTTTTGGAGGGTAGATTTGGGCTGGGAGGGATGTTTCTATGTTGCTTTGTTTTTTGGTGAGGTTTTTTTTGCAGTCCCAGCTTGGGACTTGCACTGTTTATTTATGTAATTGCCCAGCCCTGATACAGAGGAATTTTTTCCCCTGTTTTCCTCTTCTAAAAATTATGTGCATCTTATAGCCAGGTGTGTCTTATGGAGCGAAAAATACGGTATGCACTCCTATCCAATATTGTTTTGCTACTCTACAAGTCCACCACATATGATAAACAAGGTGTGATTCCAAACTCCTTCTCTATATGTTATGTGCTCCATGTTGGTGATCCTGAATTTATTAATTTATTTATTTATTTGAAGTTTGAATTTTTTTTCCTGGAAGAAATGCCAAGTTGAGCAGGATTTTTTTTTTTTTTTACAATTTCTACATATAATGTCCTTTTTGCTACTTCTGATGTTGTGGGGAAAGAAAACGCTTAGCAGTCAAGTGCTAGAACTAGAGCCACTCCAGACTTCTGAGGTGACTGGTTGCAGGAAATTAGTGAGCAGATGGCAGTGACAGGGAAGCCAGCCAGGCAGGAGGGAATAATGCATATACATGTACTCAGATCTCAGATATGTTGCATTAAGTGGAGGTTCACAGTACATTGACTTCACTTTATGTTTTTAACAAACTGAAAACACACTCCAAGTTTGTATCTGGTGACTGAGGGGAGGCAGGATTGGTCTTCAGTGCTTACTTAATTCAGAGTCTTGGACTGAGAAGACATGGATAAATCAGGCTGACCTTCTAAGCCTTTGTTCTTGCTCCCGTATTCTCTGGAAGCTGTCGTTATACAGTAGTTTGTATCAA